CCTCTCAGAAAAGAAGTGGAGGAATTCATGACGGATGCCAGGGCTCATCTGTTCAGTGTGAGGAGGAGCAAAGCCAACTTCTTCAGGCTGACGGGGGTTTTCTCCGGGGTCATCTCCGTCGGAAAATGGATGGGTCACGTGCGCACGTGGAGAAATCCGGTGACGACGGTCCTGGTGCACGTGCTGTATACGATGTTGGTGATGTTTCCGGGGATGATATTTCCGACAGTGTTTCTGTACATGGCTGTGATTGGGCTGTGGAATTACAGGTTCAGACCCAGGTACCCTCCCCACATGAACGCCAGAATATCCCACGCCGACATTGCTTCTGCTGACGAACTGGACGAGGAGTTCGATTCTTACCCCACGACCAAGAGCTCCGACGCTGTCCGAATGAGGTATTATCATTGTTTTAAATGTACCCTTTTTGGTGGGCATTTTTATCCTGGACTCCCCCGGTTTTTTTATATATTTTCATATAAAATTACTTTTATATATCATAATTTTGTAAATTATCATACGAGGCATTCTGGATTTCGATCTCTGTTTCTTTTTTTGTTTTGGCAGGTATGACAGGCTGAGGGTTGTGGCGGGAAAGGTACAGACGGTGGCCGGAGACATAGCGGCGCAAGGGGAAATCAATTATTATATCATATTCGGTTCAGTCAATTTGATTTCAGTTTCGATCTATTTTAGGTTTTTATTAAAACAATTTGATTTTTTTGCTTGGTCGCAGCAATTGTTCTCTACGTCACCCCCTTTCAGCTGGTGGCTCTTCTCACCGGATTTTACTCCATGAGACATCCTAAGTTCCGCCGACGCATTCCCTCTCCGCCTCTAAACTTTTTCCGGCGACTCCCCGCCATGACCGACTCCCTCTTGTGATTGAACGTATGTCTCATGAACGTTATGGTTTATGTGTGTGTAGTCGATCCATGTTGCAGAATTTTGGATCTAATAAAAGGGAGACGATGTAAAAGAAGAAAATAAAAACTAGTATTGCATCACAATTTCATAATCCGCTTCATTCACATGCAAATTTTCTCTACCCGGGTTTTCTCTGTACAATAAGAACACCACTGTCTAGTTTCTCCAATGCGTTACTCTAAATGATACTCGTACAATAAGATGGTTCCCCACCCTTGAGCAAAGATTTAAGTCTTTGAACAAATGCCCGTCAAGAAATACATATCAACATCTACACTTTCAAGAAACGCTACTCTGCTAAGGTCTTCTCTGAGCCGAATACCGAAGAGAAAAATGGAAACTAATCAGGTAGTTCTTCTCCTTCTGAAAGCCGGGTGTATAGCCCCATCCACAGAATCGAGTTTGTCAATTCTGTCTATACACACTCGCATTCTCTCTATGACAGTGGGTATTGTGGCGATGTTCCTCGATATTCTCTCCTTCAGTTCAATTAATTTCTCTGAACACCGTTGTTCTTCAGCTGGATCTTCTAATTCTGCATGAAAAACATGGCCCAGTGATCTGTATGAGGTACTGATATACTAGATAGATTCATGTGTCCTTCTGGAATTGCGTCTTATTATTGACCATTATGAGCAAATCTTACATGTTGCTCATTGTAGAGGTGAAGACAAACGCCAGGCTTTAAACCATGTATAGACAGACCGACCACATATTGGCAATAATTAACTGAACCATCAGAATCAGAATGCAAGTTTATGGGCTCTGTATATGAATATGTACACATTAGATTGACCTTCAATCACAAGCATCTGTATCCCTACAGAATTATGCATTCTGAGCTGTAGACTGGATTCTATATCCAGACAGAGTAATCGAGCTAAGAAACGGGTTGAAAGTCATGAACATATCACACTAAGAGTCCACTCAATACTTCTAATTGGATATCTACACTGAGTTGAATCTATAATATGATCAAAACATGAGCAACCCAAAAAGAATACACAAAATGCCAAACACCGAAGTGTATGCTTATCATCGCTTCAAGCATTGCAAGGGCAGCTTCGTCACTATTCCGATATGGGTTCTTCATAAGTTTTATCTCACGACCCAACACTAATGGTTCCAGCTTAACCCTAAATCTCGATCTTTTACACTCTAGACCACTGAAGAAACGACCATAGCAACAACTAATAAAACGGATGACATCTCAATACTCTTATCAGAAACGAAACCCAAGGCATACACGGCGTAGAATCGGAAAATAAACAATCCAACAGGAAAACGCATAGCTTCGGTGAGGAAGGAACCTGGAATAGTCAGGCGGGAAGGTCCAAGATCCGACGCAGACTCGACGTTGGGAAAAATTGGTTGCTGCGACGAAAGCACAGACGATAAAGTGTTCCTCAGCTGATCCGGTAACGTTTTCCTGTAATCGGAGATCTTCTGAGCCATTTGCAACACTTCTGACTCCAGTTTCTCCAGATCTTCTTCGCCGAGGTCGACTCCGGGGTCCGAATTGGTATTTAGGGTTAGATTTTTGTCCGGAAGCGCCATGGGTTATAGAATCCGAGATTCCTAGGCCGAAATCGTGGTTATCCGGATGGAATCCTCTCTCTCTGTCTCTCTCTCTCTCTCTCGGAACAGTATACCGAGGGTTTTGAAATTTTGGATCTCGGAAAGGGAAATGTGGAGCGGGAAGGTGACCCAGACAAGAAAAAAAAAATGTTTTCTTGGGAAACCGAATTGCTTGTATGAACCTCACGCGCATGCAAAGCGCGTTAAGCGCGTGTCAATCAAATTGCTGGGTTAACCGAAAATCCATTATTTGCTCTCTTTCTCAGTTTTTGGCAACAGTAGGCGCGTGAAGCGTCCTTTCTTACCAAAACACTCGCCATCTTCTTTGTTTTTTTACCTAGTTATGTTTCATTATTTTTTTTCTTTCTTTTTATGCCACAGATGTTCTTGTATTATCTGAACCCATCATATAAAATGTTCAATCTATCTGATCCGGTATTGATTAAAATAGATAAATTTGGTTATATAAATAAATCTGTATAACCAAGTTTAGATTCAAAAGGCAAATATGGCCAACTAAATACTAATATAGTATGAGCCGCAATTATTGGGCAACCAGCGCTTTACCGAGAGGGGGATGGGCCTTTCACATAGAGACGGTTGGATGAAATGGGTCTTCCATATAAAACCCATGATTTTGTACGGTCTGGCAATAGATGGACCCCACATCCCAGATTCCCCACGCAGTTTCCGAAAATGGGCCATTCCCCGGCCCCAGGAAACCATCATCAGCCTGTCATCCCTCCCTCTAAACGAATATCTCACGTACCATGCTGTCTCCAGATGCTATTGGAATCTTCCGACCATTTCCGTTGACTTAAATCTCTCTCCCTCTCTCTCTCATTTAGGACCAGCAAACTTAATGGGTGTTACTTGACCGCTCCTAGAATCACTAGCTCAGCTCTGTATCTATAGGTTTCTTCATCAGAACCAGAAAATTAATCGAAATCGCTTGATGGGTCGTCTTCCGATGTTGTGATCACCTTTTTCTAACTAAAAAGGTTGAATTTTTCTAGTTTTACTTGACGGATTCGGTCATAGCTCTTGGAACTCAATCTGATGGGTGATCTCTTGGCCTCTATGATTCTGTCCCTATTCTTGGAGCCAGAAAAAAAATTACAAATCCTTCAGCCTCAAGTTTTAATGTCATGTTATCCCACTCTATTTCGGTTTAAAGGATTATGTTGGACTCGGATCCTATTGCCAATTATTCAACTGCACTTACCCTCTTTTTTTTTTTGATAACGTTGGTAACCCGTCCTAGATCCTTCGTGTCAGACACTGCAACGCCTCACAATCCAAATGGTAGGACGAATGACACGATATCGTGGACGGTAAACCCAACGACCCCATGCAATAGCCGACAAACCACGCGAAACAGATAAACCAACCGAAACTGACCGGCTCAGGGGAAGTTTGACACCAAGAGGAATCGAACTCTCCACCACTAGCTTTTGAGTGAGGCTTCACCCCACTTACCCTCTTTCTTGCTTTATCATTCCACTGGAAATCAATTCCCCTATAAACCTGTTTCAACCTATGCTTTTGGCGCTCCCATATTTTTTATCTTCTGTTCTACAACCTTCCGTTGCGCTCTGTTATATCTCTGTGTATGTGATTGTGTATAGTTAGTTTGTTGTTGTGTATATTCTTTCTGTTTCACACACCTTTTCCATTTTCCAGGTTGTTAGAGCATTGTAATTGCTGTATAAATATCCCTGTAATTTTCCTTGGTTAATCAGAGAAACATTTTTTCAATCCATCGAAATCCCTTTCTCTTCAGATTTCTTATATGGTATCAGAGAGCTAAATCTCCTGGGTTTATTCTTCTTCGTTTCTTTTCTGGGTTTATATTTCTTCTCATGGCCTCATCTGCTGTAAATCTCGATCTTTTACACTCTAGACCACTGAAGAAACGACCATAGCAACAACTAATAAAACGGATGACATCTCACTAGG